ACGGTTGTGCAGTCATATACCGGGATTCATGAGGTTTTCGTTTTGGAATTTGAAATACGGACTGTTTGTCGTGATAAATCTAATATTGACTTCGTCCTTGGTCAGTACAGGAAGTAAAAACCTCGTAAAAGACCTCGGCTTCGCCTCGGTCTTTTACTCAGCTGGAAGCTACAACTTTCACACCAAGGTTCAACTCAAAGGCTCAAAGGTTCAACTCGACTGACAGGAACGCTGTAAAAGTTGTAGCCTGCAGGCACGGTGACCAGGTGACTGGAGTACGCATGAACACGTGACCGCTTACTCACCCGTGTTCGATTGGGAATAAGGGCTGAACGCTGTATCGCAGCCTTTTCGGACCAAAACCAGTCGACTCAACATCCAAATGACTACAACATATGGACCAATCACGGTCATCCATGCTTTTGTAAGACCGAAACGGCGCTTAGTGACTTTTGCATACAAATCTCCATCTAGTAGAGCGCAGTCACCCAGTTTCGGTGGAAGTGCGAGAGTTCGATAGGGAATAAAGGAGGAAGGGAGCGTCTCAGCTTCCTCGGACCAACACCATTCGACTCAGCACCTCGAAGACTACAACTGGAGAGAAATTGATTTTAGGGTATACTTTCCCTTTAAAATTTATTCAAGATGCTCCAGATAAAATTAAAAGATTCCAGACTGGCTCGAACAGTTCCGAGCACATCTGCATTTTTAGTACACAATAAAACATCTGGAACAAGAAAAAATCTATAATATGAACTATGCAAAAAGAAAGAGCGCGAGTCAAGACAAGGCAAGGGGAGAGCCAGAGGGGCACGCGTGCGAGACAGGACGCACAAAACCACCCGACCTCTCTTTCTCTCTCTCTCTCACTCACTTCTGTTACATGTACACTCAATGAGAATGAGCTGTCCGGAAGTACTGATGCGCTAGCACGGACTAGCACTGTGCGGAGCGCGTCGCTCGCTGATAAAACACACTGATCGCCACGCGGGGAAACAAGCTGAATGCGAAGCGCCTTGATCCACTCACCAGGTATCCCGAGCTGTATGCACGGCTGATATATGAGTGTTATTGCTTCGGTGAAACGGACATGTTGGCCACTGCCTCTTTCAAATCCGATCAAACGCTCTCAGCAGGCAACGGATACGCAGAGGTGCATGCACCGACCACCGAGTTTCATTGCTTGGCGAAACGGACATATTCGCTAACGCGTCTTTTGAATGCCGATCAAACACTCGCAGCAGGCAACATATATCCAGAGCCGTATGCAGCGCTGAGTTAACTATCGCCTCGGCGAAACGGACATGTTGGCCACGGCGTCTGTCGAGTGCAGATCAAACGCTCTCAGCAGGCTGTCGCGGTCGTGGAACGAGATGAACCCGTAGCCGCGACCGTTGTCGCGGTGCACGACGCGACACGACTCCTCCACCGGCTGCAGGTGGGCAAACAGCTTGGCGACGGACTCCGGCGTGGCGTGCACCGGTACGTACGTCAGATAGGCGGTGTGCGGCGGAGAGTGCGACTCACGCGCTATCTTGGCAAACCGGTCCGTCACAAACAGGCCGACGGGCTCGCAGTCGCCGCCACGGCCAGGTACGGCCGTGCCGTTCCTGCTGAGAGCGTCCAGGAGATGCTGCCGCGTCTCGAACAGCACAAACTTACACCGCGGGCTGGAAATCTTGATAGAGATCGGAGGGCAATTGGCAAATAGTTTTCTTATGCCTTCTTCGGTGATGTTTTTCGGCGACTGCAGAAAAGCTGCAAACGGCGCTTTTTTCGGCACTGGATGCTTCCTACTGCGCTCAACCTTCTGCTGCTGCGTAGATTGCTGCTGCGTTGATTGCTGGTGCGTGGATTGCGGGTGCTGCGTTGATTGCTGGTGCGTTGATTGTGGGTGTGTGAGAGGTTGAGGCCAGCCAGTGGCGTGAGCGTGTTGGCTAGGCGCTTGTTGAACCGAGTAGTATTCAGCCTGGGAGACTGCATTGCCAAGACTCGGCTGGTACATGTGCTGAGCTGGTGCATGCCGGACGGGTGCGTGCTGAGCGGGTGCGTGCTGAGCGGGTGTGTACTGAGCGGGTGCGTGCTGGGCGGGTGCGTGCTGGGCGGGTGCGTGCTGAGCGGATACGTGCTGAGCGGGTGCGTGCTGGGCGGGTGTGTACTGAGCGGGTACGTGCTGGGCGAGTGTGTGCTGGGCGGGTGTGTGCTGTGGTGACCACTGGGCATGAGCTGATCCACTATACAAAGTATGCTCCACGGGCGTACCTGTTGAAGCACGTGCAGGAGCAGATGCCGGTGGTCCAGACTCAGGCTCTGCTTTCGTGAAGCCAAACGCCTGCTTTCCTGCTTGATTCCGCCATTTCTTTCGGGTAAACCCTGGCCTAACTAAGTGTGCTGTGCTGTGAGTGTTCGGGTGCGAGGTGTGTGGTGACGCATGCTCACCTTGGGCCCGGGCTATTGCTGGTGGTGCAGTGCCAACAACAGTTTGCGGTGCCTGGGAATTAGTACCTGCCTGCTGTGGTGACGGTAGTCCACAAGTACTAGCACTCGTATAGCTAGGCGGTGTATGTGTAGGCAAAGGATCCATGCTCTGGCTACCTGACGCCTGTGGTACACTACCGATGGCCAACTCTTTGCTGCTAAGTTTTCTAGCAGTGCTCCAGGAGCTGTCTGTGGCCACTGGGGACGCTGTGCTGCGTGCAGGCATGTCATCCTTCAGTAATTTGGAGAATGCTTCTGCGAAGGCGCTGTCGACGTCCTCTCTGCTATCACTGCCAGCATTCTCAGCGGCTTTGCTTGTTGAACATCCTGGCAGCCCATGGCCAAAGGAACGCCAACCCAAAGCCACAAGAGGGCGAGAAATGCCGCAGAATCTCACGACACGATATGGCGCTTGCACAGCCATTCTACATAGACCTAACTGATTCTTTCCAGAAGGTGATACGATTATGACATAAAACGAAGTTGGTGTTGTTCCCGACTGGAAACTTACTTCACGCAACCAGATCGGTCACAATGTCAACGTGGCCTGAGAGCTAGAGAGAAAATGCACGAGTAGTGCTGTCTTTCGTCGATATGTCTGACATGAATACAGAGGAAGGTTATTCCTCTTTTCACTGAAACGATAATTGTTTGAAATATTTTCATTCAAGAGAAATTTTAATGATTTTGTGTAAAAATATAAAATTGTAATTGCATTGTAATTTTCTGCTCGCATATCTCCCTTGAGCTCAAGACTTTTATATTATGTCAGACATATCGACGAAAGACAGCACTACTCGTGCATTTTCTCTCTAGCTCTCAGGCCACGTTGACATTGTGACCGATCTGGTTGCGTGAAGTAAGTTTCCAGTCGGGAACAACACCAACTTCGTTTTTGTGATAATTGTGTTTTGTGATACGAAAAAGAATTTTTCCCCTGTATCCTAAGGCAAATTTCTGATGGCCCTGGCCTGTTGGATAAGTGCTGGTCGGCTGGTGCAGTCTTTCAGGCTTAGAGGTGGTGTGAGTGATCAATGCTTTGTATGGACTCTTTCTGCACGCCGCGCACAACCAGTGAGATCGCTGGCCACACTTGCCAGTGACACAGCCGCACCACCCACAGGTAGCTCAGCACAGGATGTAATCGACTCCCAGCCTACGAGTGCACCACAAAATGATAGCTCAGCACAGACGCCGCCGTCTGACGGACTGACAAGGAGAAAGAAAAAGGGAGGCGTGAAAAAGGTTTCCGCAGATCAGGGTAGAATCACGGCTGTGCACGTACCAACTGAAAAGGCAGATGCACCAACACCTGATGCTAGTGAAGACCATCAGAATGTTAGCTCGATGGCGCAGCCAAGTGCTCCACTGCGTTCAGAAGAGCTTCAAGTCACTGCTCCGCCCGCCGCAATGCAGGCAGTCAAGTTGCCAGCTCCACCTTCGTGGCAGTCATCCACGTTAGATGATCTGCTACCTCAGTACTCTAAACAGCAGCAGCAGCACCAACCACAGCAGCAACAGCAGCAGCAGCAGCACAACCAGCAACAGCCACATCGGCAGCACCAACAGCAGCCACAGCAGCAGCAGCAGCCACATCAGCAGCTACAGCAACAGTGGCAGCATCAGCAGCCACAGCAGCAGCAGCAGCAGCAGCAGCACAACCAGCCACAGCAATTGCATCAGCAACAGCCACATCAGCAGTGGCAGCATCAGCAGCCACAGCAGCAACAGCAGCACAACCAGCCACAGCAATTGCATCAGCAACAGCCACATCAGCAGCACCAGCAGCAGCACCGCCAGCCACAGCAACAGTGGCAGCAGCAGCAGCCACAGCAGCACCAGCAGCAGCATTTGCATCAGCAGCAGCACCACCAGCCACAGCAACAGTGGCAGCAATGGCAGCAGCAGCAGCCACAGCAGCAATGGCAGGAGCAGCCACCTGCATATCCCCCATATCGTCCTCATTGATTACCAGCAAGGAACAAGCCTACTCCAAACTCATGGACCATCATTGCACAGACACCAGCCCTGTTTCCTCAAAGACGAAGAGCAGATGGTGTATGAGTGAGAGGCAAATCCTCTGAGCTCTGTGCTAGCTGCCTGAGACTGTTAGTCAGCATGTTCGGGCCATGGATTGTGCGTGTGTGTGCATGTGTGTGTGTGCATGTGTGTGTACGTCATACACACACGCACGCACACACACACACACACACACACACACACACACCCATGTGCAGCTGCACCAGTCAGCGTGCACGCGCGAGCATTCAGCACACTCCATCCTACGGCGTCTGGGCACATGACTGCAATTATTTCACTGTGCTGGTGATCAAGTCCCCGAGTATAGTAGTTCAGACTGACTGCACGTGCGAGACACTTACCCGGCATGGTGTGCACTGAGCTCGCGGCGGTGTGACCTGTCCGCAAGCCTGGAAATGGCCAACGCTGAGCCGCATACCATACCCTCGCTGATCTGTACCGGTGCTTGCTCGCGGCTCCTGTGGTCCGGACTTTCTTCTGTGTCAGCTTGAAGATCTTGCTACGTGTGTATTCTTTTGGATAGTCTTTGCTAAAAAGCTTTTTTCTATTTTTTTGAGCGAGCTTGACGTTCTTGAGCTGCAGATCAGCGGGCTCTAGTCACTCAGTGTGCTTTGAACTTGTTTCCCCGGGTAAGGTCTCGTGGTATACTCCAAGTATTCATATTTCAACGGTTGCTTTTGCTGTACGTGCGTTTTCCTGGACGCGTACTGAACCCTGCTTTTTCGTCCTTCAGTGTGAAAAAACTTGCCAAAAAGAGACTTTCAAAAGTGTGTACTGTCTCTTTGTTCCCTGTTTCTGGAAAGGGGAATTTGCTCTGCTGCATGTGTGTGTGTGTGTGTTGCACTTGCAGATTTGCGGGCTTCTCTTGTGGCGGGCATACGTGATACACAGTGGTGCGTGTGCTTGCGTGCATGCATGTGTGTGTATCTCTTTCTCTGTCGGTGTCTGTCCGTCTCTTTCTCCAGCAAAATCCAAACTGCTGACAAGTGCCATAGAGCCCAGCTGCATCAGTGTGCTATGCGTTACAGAAGAAGGGAAGAGAGTTCAAGAGACAGATTCCCAACACGCCTGCTGGGATGAGCACAATGATGACCTCTCCAACAAGCACAGTGCCAGCATGGTGCGTTTGTACTCGTTGTATACTAAACCCCTGCTCCCCCTCAGGCCTTGAACAGTCAACGTTCTCATGCCGGTCACCTTGCTGCGGAGGGCGTTAAACAGGCGCGTGGCCAGGGGGGGGGGGGGGGCATGTGTACCCCCAGGCCCTACATCTTTTGAGCCTCGCTTAGAATATGCATGTTGGGTGAAGTAGCCAAGGCATCAAAGTCGCAGTTCGGTACATCACCGATATAGATATATACATAGATCCGAGGGTCCCTGGTTCGAATCCTGGTGGTGACAGTCAATTTTTTCTTCAGACTTTTCCCGTTTGTCTCTTTCCCTCAAACCAGTTAATACATAGATTAATAGATAAACTTAATAGCGATAAAGAGAACACATTCTGGAGTCATCGTCCCACAACAACGAAGTCATGAAGGTTTTCCAAAATCCTTATTGTTGTCTCGATGTGTCTTCCTCAAACCCGTAGTGTACCTCAACTTAAACACTCGAAACACGGTCTCTCTGCTGCACACGTCATTCGAACTGTTCACCAAATTCTCAGGCATGGTGTTAACAGTTTACACAATGTGATGATAGGCCATGACTGAAAATTTGGTCAACAGTTTAAATGACATCTGGAGCAGAGACCGTATTTCTAGTGTTTGAGTTGAGGTACACTAATGCGTAAATGGCTGCAACGGAGTCTGCGAATGCGTAGATTTTTCCCCTCAAACCAATTAAAATAAATAAATAGATACTTCGACATTTTCAGAAAAGAGATAAGCGCAACAAAGGACTTGTTCGGCTCAACTGGACGCTGACCCACTGTCGATACGGGTCCTTAGCGTGCGTGACATTGGGCCACACCGTTGTCATATGGGTCCTTCAGGTGCGTAGCACCACTGTTGGAGGTGGTCCGGCCGGGGTGGGGGGTCCCCAGGAAAAATTGATATTAGGGTGCAAAATCCTGCATTCTGGGCACTTTTGGCATTGTGTTAAAAAAAAGTGGTCCGGCCAAAGGACCGGCTGCTACGCCCCTGTCCTTAACGAGACACTGGGCCACACCATTGTCAATACGGGCCCTGAAAACGTGACGCTGGGCCACGCCACCGTGTCAATACGGCTTCACAGCAACGCCGTTCACTAGCGGCGAGTGCGACATGTCCATAGCACGCACGAAGTCCTCTCGGCACGAGAAGTGCATGAAGGCGATCTCATCGCCTCGGCTGGTCTGCTTCACGACGCATTGTGTGGGCCGCAGCGCCTTGAACAGGTCCAGCAGTCGGCCCTCGCCCATGCCCTGCAAGCGGTACAGATAGGCTATGAACGGCGGACCGCCTTCGGCCACTGCGGCGATCTTGCGGAAACGATTGCTGACCTGCAGAGCCAGGAGCCGGTGGCCGGCAGTGCGCTGGTGCAGTGACAGCGCTCCGAGTAGATCCTCGCGACGTGCAAACAGCACATACGCGTGCTCCGGCGTGAACATCTTCACGTCGGTCGGCCGGTGCGCCGCGAATATGCCGCGGACGGCCTCCGGCGACAGGCCCTCCGTGTGACGCACAAGTATCTCGTACGGTGGAGAGTCCGGAATGTCGCGAGCGTGCGGACCTCCCCGACGCATCCTGCTGCTGCGCTGCCTCGGCCCTTGCGCGGATTCAACCGGCGAACAAAACGAATTCGCTGCGTGCTCGTCAGCAGTGCTGCCAGCAGTAGCAGTATGGCGCGCCAGCTCACTACGGGCCTTGGGCCTCGCCAATAGTCCCCGTCCATATCCAATTGTCATCGGCAGAGTACAGTTTCCACGACGACTGAGCGCGACGAGGCCGCCAACGCTCCCGTAACCGTCGCGGGGCGGCGGCGCGTACGACAGAGAAAAGCAGCTCCTGTACTGCTGGTGCTGCGGCTCGCACTGGATGTCCGAATGCTCTGTGCTCGGCGATATGCTTGCGAGCCGTCTTTGCCAGTTTTCACGAGCCTGTCCTGGCAGCATTGTCGATGCATGATGTTGGTACCCACGCGGCTTGATGGCCGCACAGTTCTCGCTGTTTCCATGCTGCATGTGTCTCCCGGAGTGCATCCAGCGTGTAGACTGCCATTGAGTTACTCGACTGCTCGCGTCGTCCACGCCTCGACTCGCAGCCACTGATTCCGCCTGGCCACCACGAATCTGAACAGCGTTCGCTTCGCCGTTCACCGTTCTGGTGCATGTGTGCCTATGTCCGCGCGCTGAAATAGCAGCGCTGACACTGCCTGCTGTTGTTGCTGCTCTACCGACAACCATAGCTGCTGGCACGGGTCTCAGAGCAAAATGGGACAACATGGTGTCTACTTTCCCTCAAACAAAAAACAAACATCTTTAGGCCACACCAAAAAGATTTCGTGTTTCCGGTCGGCCGACCGGGTCCGTTTTTTCAAAAATTATGGAATTTTTTTTGGTTTACAAGTACAAAAAAAACAAAGAAAAACAAGCAAAAACACTGAAAGCATTGTGTTGCTTTGCTCGAACCGAAATAAAAGTTTGACTGAATGCAGAGACGAAAATTCCGGAGCTGGAGAAAAGGTCGCCAAGAACGATGGCTGCTTAGAGCAGCCCGCTTTGTGCCCAGTGCTGACGATGGCTGCTCAGAGCAGCCCGCTTTGTGTCCAGTGCTGGCGGGGTGCGAAGTGTCTTCTTCAGCAAAGGATAGTTCGCGTCTCCCATGAAACCACTTTGAAGGAGTTGTTTTGTGAGGAAGTGCAGCCTCGCTTGCCTGAGGACGTCACGTCTTTAGAGTGGATTGTCGCAGCTACAGCAAGCAGCAATGGTGGGGCAGGAACGTGGAAAGATGTAGAGGTAACTGACACTGTCGGCCTTGTTGTCGAAATACGAATTTGGATGCCGTTTCCTGGATTTTCGCTTGGTGGACGTAGCTCCTGCTGCCAAGCGACCGTGCCCTGACCGTCCCTCGGCATTCGATGTGCTTCTGGGAGCAGCAGCTACTGCGTCCCGCGGTGGTATTCTACTCCATATTCCATGTGTAAATATGTATAATGTGTATCACCAGTGTCTGATCCAAACTTTCTCAATTTGGCTCATGTCTATGAACATGATGAATACAGCAGGGAAATAAACTTTCAAACCAAAAAATAATAATTTTCCGACCGACCGGGCGTATTTTTTCGGGGGGTGCCGACCGGAAACACGAAATCTTTTTGTTGTGGCCTTATTTTTACTGCTGGGTATCCAGGTATCTGGCTCCATCTAAAAAACACTCAGCTTTAGCTGTAGCCTGTAGTATAGGCTGTACTGTACTTGTTGTACTACACTACAGTCCATTTCAAAACTGACGCGTACCTAGGCAAAAACCGTTATGCCAGCATCTATACCACATAAAATCTGTGATCACTTTGTGCATAAATTTTTCCAAATTGGGCGTCTGTTATCCAATCCTTTAGAAACTATAATTATGAGAGTAATTGTGGAGCGATCCTGAGCAATACTAGTATTCCGAAAACTATTCTCAAAAAGTTCCAGCCAAATTATTTGAAATAATTATTTCAAAAACCCTACGCGTCTATAGTTTTGAAATGCACTGTAGTACACTACTAGTTTGTAGTGTAGCCACTGCCACTGCTACTGCCTGCCACTGGCTAGCTACAGAGTCTAGTCAGTACTGTTGTAGTCGTTGCAGTTGTAGGCGATGGACGGACCGGGGCCATTATAAATCTGTACTCTCTCTGACTGCACACTCGCATTTTGGGGAGGGGGGGGGGGGGGCGGAGGGGATCTACCATGACAACTGGCACTTTAGCTGCCTCCACTCGATCGAGTCGTGATCGACTCGACTCGTACTCGTCGACTCTTCACTAGTACTAGTAGTAGTACTACACTACTCACTAGTACTACTACATGTAGTACCAGTACGTACAGGTTCCTGCACGAGTTTGAGGGCAGTACCGCGGAATCCAGCCCGCGGCCCCGCGCCGCGATAGCGGCAAGGGCTGGATGAGCAGCGGTGCTGACCGAGTATGACTATGACAGTATGACTATGAGTGACTGGAACGTGTTTCCCGTATGCACCCAAGCCAAGGAGATCACTCACAATCTTTGACGTTTGAGTTTACATGAACCATTCTGTGACTTGACTCGAGTCCTGCATGGCTGTATGAGGCTGTGTCAGTGTGAGCTGAGGGAGAGTGACTTCGACAACCGGACACGGACTACAGACAGTACGTACAGGTTCCTGCACGAGTACGAGGGCAGTACCGCGGAATCCAGCCCGCGCCGCGATAGCGGCAAGGGCTGGATGAACAGCGGTACTGGTCGAGTATGAGTGACTGGAACGTGTTTCCCGTGTGCACCCAAGCCAAATAAAGAGATACATGACAGACACACCTTGTACCTGCATTGTGTTTTGTGATTGTTTTCTGGTACAGTTTTTTGTAGTAGTCCATAGTGCTTTTTTTTCTCGTGGGGACATTGACATTGTCGACTGGGCATCGGGCATTCTGGCTGTTCTGTTCCTACGGATTCTTCCCACGTCTTGATCGGAAACCTCGGCAAATAATTGCGCGGATCCTGCAGGTTGCTGAGCATTGCGCGCTTTGGTTGAGGCTCATCCGGCTCGTCCAAGATCTCCTTCGCGAGCGACTCCGCAATAAAAGTTTCAGTCTCAACCTCAACCTTTCGGAGGAGCTCAGTCACATCGCCAATATCGTTCAACAAAGGGGCTTCTTTTCTCCCAGTTCCAGATCAAATGTTGGAGCGCCATGATGACAGTTGTGGTTGCAAACAGTCGCTCTTCTGCTTTCTTTATTTTACTAGTAACCAATGAAAAACCATGAAGTAGAGAGTCAGTCCAGTGACGACGGGCATGCCGGGCAGTGGGATCCGTTCCTGCCCGTCGTCAAGTGACGACGGGCAGTGGAATCCGTTCCTGCCCGTCGTCACTTGACGACGGGCAGTGGAATCCGTTCCTGTAGCAAGAAGGACCCATGAGTGTGTGTGATCCCCGGTAGCCTAATCGGTAGGGCACTGTCCCGGAAAGACAGGGGTGCTGGGTTCGAATCCCGCTCGTGGATCCTTCTTTTGCAACATTGGCGCCTGGCAATGGCTCGAACCCACGACCCATCGTACCCCCCGCGAGCTAGGTACGGCGTGAGGACACAGCCTGTTGGGGCGGGGGAGCAGTGTAGCAAGAAGGACCCATGAGTGTGTGTGATCCCCGGTAGCCTAATCGGTAGGGCACTGTCCCGGAAAGACAGGGGTGCTGGGTTCGAATCCCGCTCGTGGATCCTTCTTTTGCAACATTGGCGCCTGGCAATGGCTCGAACCCACGACCCATCGTACCCCCCGCGAGCTAGGTACGGCGTGAGGACACAGCCTGTTGGGGCGGGGGAGCAGTGTAGCAAGAAGGACCCATGAGTGTGTGTGATCCCCGGTAGCCTAATCGGTAGGGCACTGTCCCGGAAAGACAGGGGTGCTGGGTTCGAATCCCGCTCGTGGATCCTTCTTTTGCAACATTCCTGCCCGTCGTCACTTGACGACGGGCAGTGGAATCCGTTCCTGCCCGTCGTCACTTGACGACGGGCAGTGCAGTCCGTGCGCCAGACCCTGTTTTGGCCCGATTTTTATTTTCTGCGCGGGAACCATACATGCAGACGTTATGCAGGGAAAGATGACGACGCCGGTCAGTAAATTGTTGGTCGATTTGTTGCCTACCTCGAGGCCAGTCGGTGAAATGAAGGCTTCCTTCTTCAAGAAATATGTTGCCAGTCGTTAGTCGGATGCCACTCGTCTTCTAAACATCGTACTTGATGCAACCAGCGCAGTTGGATGGACGGGAGGCGAGGAATTTATCGTTTTCGATTTTCACCCTATTCTGGGTTGCCATTACATTGCAGCTGGCAGCACCACGAGGGAATTTTTTGCACAAGGGAGACTAGGTGAATTCAACTCCTCAGAGATATCGCCATGACAGGGTAAGGTTATTTTAGCCCTGAAATTGTGTACAAACCAACGGCACGAAATTATGGAAATATTTATTTTTTCGCAATAATTGCATGTTGGTTGAAAAAATGTAGCCATCTTTGTATTGTGGCATCCTGGCGGTGTATTTCGTAACTATACTGCATGACAATATTATTTATGAGAAATGGCAGCGATTGCAGCGATTGTGAACAATGTACAATCAACAGCATTGGCAAAATTGATGCAGAGCTGTATGGTACTTTAGTACAATTTGCCTGTATATTGGTATTTTACACACAATGCATGAAACAGAAGAGCAAAATTATTATTGACTTATCAATTTATAGTTAGGACATGAATATGAAACCCATGACCAATGCCAATGACCCAGGGTCTGTGCACCTGCATTCAAATATATAAAAAATCCCTTGTGGCATAATCATGTACTCTGTGCATACACATGCTTGGGGGGCGATACTTGCTGCTTTAGGGCTGTGGAAATTATGGTGCTATGCTGCTTGGTATGTGTGTGTGTGTGTGTGTCTGTGTGCGTGTGTGTGTGTGTGTGTGTGTGTGTGTGTGTGTGTGTGCGTCTGTGTGTGCACACTTCACTTTCCGGCTGTGTATTGATGCCTATGTAGATATCACCATGATCAACAGGGTCAAACGCTTCCAGCGGACAACAGTGGATCACCTCATTTCTCCCACTGGAGTGGTCCTAGCTTGAAGTGATGTATGACTATCAATTCTATTGACTAGCCTTGAGGCATGTACCAAACGTCAGCATGTCTGTGATATCAATACATCACACTTACATTTGAAAGCTATATGATGGAAGGCAGTCCAGTGGGCTTTTCGTCAAACACAACCCTACCAATGAAATGAAGGCAACGGGCAGAGACCACTAATGGTAGGGCCACACAAGGTGGCTGTGCCAGTGGGGAAGACCCAGCTCAACAAGGTGTTATTGCAAGTTTGTTCGGAACAGCACCCTGGTCCTAATCCTCAATATCAGTGAATCTTACTGGTCCATGTGGCTGCTGCCTTGACTCGTGATGCCTACGATTGGATGCAAGCTGCACGAAGTATGTTGCAAAGAAGAGTACAATGGATCTTGAACTTAGCACGAGAAGCGTGCACTTCGTTGATAACAGCAGAACCTTTGCATGACTATTGTAGTGTAATGAGTAGCATCATGACAGAACTCTATCCCTAGGCATATCAATGTCTGTCTCCAGGTTTCTCCTTCCTACTCCCTACACTCACTCGCATTGATCTAACGTGTGTACTCGTATAAGAACCGCAGCCTGCCTGCTGTACCATTGACTCATGCATTCATGTATCGCTGCACTTGCTGGCTGCGCATCACTAACCCTTCCCCTTCTATGCCACAGTCCCCGCATGCACTGAACGCAGTACATGTACTCGGGTGCGCGTGCGTATTCATGTCTGAGTGCATTGCCCTCGGGCTCCATCTATACATGGCATCCCGTACTGGGCACGCTGCTGCCGGTCGCTGCTGTGTGCACGCAGCACCGCCGTCCATTCCGCTCTCGGTCTTCTTTACTCAGTGATTCCCGATTGGAACCGGCTCTTCGTTTCTGCTCTCCTCACAGCTAGTTGTGCTTTTCCGTGTCCGATAATGTTCCCCCTTTTGCAATAAACAGTCAGGCGAAACTACTCTAAGTAGCTACCGCTACAACTATCATAACACTCTCCTTATTGCAATATTTAGCCAATGCTCCATCTGTTGTAGCAGCTACCACACAACTACAAGTATGCATTCATTACCTGGCTGTCTTGTATAAACTTGTGAATGCAATCACGTGATGCTTTGTGCACATATGCTCTCATACTTTAGCGGATGTGCGCGTGTGTGTGTGTGTGTGTGCATGTTTATGGGTGTGTATGTTCGTGCACGTACGTACGTGTACATGTCTGTGCGTTTACATGAACATGCAGACGTGTGTGGGTCTGTTGAAAAAAGCGCATGAACACGTGTCAATTCACGTGTGCATGTATGTATGGGTGTATGGTAAACGTATTCTTTGCTCCATGCGTCCGCCGTGAATGAAGGTACGAGACTTTATGTGTCATAGCTTGTGGCGGTTGCTCTGTAAATAGTAGCACCGTATCCTGGCCATCCGCAGATGCAATTTTTTCACTTCAATTCTGCATTGGCTCAGGTGCTGTGTTTGTAGTGTCATCCTCTCTGCATGAATTATTTATATTTCTTTCCCATCTCAGTACTGTATTTGGCTTGATATTGTTGCTGTTGTACATACAAGTATAGGCACATGCATTGATGTGCGAGGGTTTGTGTTTGGAGCTCCAGCAACCTGTTGGGGTTCGTGTTGTCTGTAAATTCGTGGTCTACGGATACAATGGTCTGGCTGGTACATCGCAGAATACTAGGACCCCTTGAACGATTCTGTCGGTCGTTCATAAGTCCACCAATTGAAGACATGTGTGTGGCAAAATGTGTCAAAAATACAGTGTTGACGAAACGGTTGGTATCACCGCTGTCGGATTTTTTGCACAAGCCAAAATTGGAGGATACACTGTTGGCTAATATTTCTTTCTAATTAAATAAGCAGGAAATAGCGAAACCCTTGTACAAACCAACGGCACGAAATTATAGCATGTTCAACCAAAATATCAGCGACATAACGAAAACGCAAGCGACGAGCGACACCAGGCTCGCTGCCGCCGAACCTCGTCGCCGAAGCGAATCCCAGTGCATGTGTGCACTGGGATTCGCTTCGGCGACGAGGTTCGGCGGCAGCGAGCCTGGTGTCGCTCCAGCGAAACCACGTGTGTGTGGTCACACATACAAACAGGGCACAACTCCTACTTTGGCGGAAAATGAGACTGTGGTGCATACGGTACGGAGAATAGACGAGGTCAATGACTATCTTGCACGCATTTTTGTTGCATGGACATCATACGCATACAAATTTCTCGTAGCAAGTCCATATACAGCAGACCGTGGTGTTTTCCGCTGAAGCGAATCCGCAGAAGCGACAGTCTCGCTTCGAAAATTTTGGAGGAAGCGGATTGGAGTTTCCGCTGAAGCGGAAGTTCCGCTTTTCGCCGTTGCCATGCCATTTTTCGCTCCTGCGACCTCGCTTCAGCGTATACGCTACTTTCGAGTGCATGTGTGACCGGGCCCTAACGCGGTCACACATGCACTGGGATTCGCTTCGGCGACGAGGTTCGGCGGCAGCGAGCCTGGTGTCGCTCCAGCGAAACAACGTGTGTATGGTCACACATACAAACAGGGCACAACTCCTACTTTGGCGGAAAATGAGAGTAAAGTGGACTGTGGTGCATACGGTACGCAGAATTGACGAGGTCAATGAATATCTTGCACGCATTTTTGTTTCATGGACATCATACGCATACAAATTTCTCGTAGCAAGTACATATACAGCAGACCGTGGTGTTTTCCGCTGAAGCGAATCCGCAGAAGCGACAGTCTCGCTTCGAAAATTTTGGAGGAAGCGGATTGGAGTTTCCGCTGAAGCGGAAGTTCCGCTTTTCGCCGTTGCCATGCCATTTTTCGCTCCTGCGACCTCGCTTCAGCGTATACGCTACTTTCGAGTGCATGTGTGACCGGGCCCTAAGACGACTTTTTCTGAACTGGCGCACGGACTGAGTGGATCCAGTTCCATCACCGAGCAGGCAGGACCGCGCTTTCCAGCCCGCGCTGTTTGATCTGTCATTGGTCAACTCCAAGGCGACAATCACGTGACATACGGGAAACGACTTTTGCATGTACTTTCAGACCACAGAAGCTTGTCATTGAAATGGTAGACTCATGAGTGGATTCTGTCCACTGCCCGTCGTCAAGTGACGACGGGCAGTGGATTCTGTCCACTGCCCGTCGTCAAGTGACGACGGGCAGTGGATTCCGTCCACTGCCCGTCGTCACTTGACGACGTCGACGGGCAGTGGAACTAGTTCCATCACCATTCATCAGGCAGGATCGCGCTTTCCAGCCCGCGTAATTTGATCTGTCATTGGTCGACTCCAAGGCGACAGTCATGTGACATACGGGAATGTAGTACTACAGTACTAGTACTTAGTAGTAGTAGTCCTTTCCATGGCATGATCCAGCTGCAAGCTAGCGCTAGCTAGCTAGCTGCAGCCGTGCAGGTGCAGCCCTACATTTTTTTTAGTCCTCCGCTAGCACTCCAGTCCAAGTCCAACGGCGTGGCGTGGACGCGTGCGCGTGTGTGGTTTGTGCAAAATGTTTCAGGCTACTCGTAGACCTACTACATGACTGTATTATGTTTTAGTTCTGTGTCATAGCGATCGCTGCAGCTGTCGCCCTAGTACATGTACTCCTGTTCTGAGTCTGAGTCTGTCCTGCGAAGCCGTCGTCTTCCTTACATCTCAAGTACTTCAAGCAGCAAAGTCTACTATTCTGGGCGCTTTGAAAGTCAATGTTCCTGTTTGACATCTGTTCCGGGTCCGACATTCTGTCACGGCTCCTCGCCGGCAGTGCGGTCCGGAAAAGTACGGTGGAGTTTGTGACCTCCTATTTTGTCAGCCAGTGTAGATCTGCTGTCGACGCCCGTGCTGATTGTGTAGCACAGTACATGTAGCCTTGTAAGTTAGTTACTGTACTGTAGTTGTAGGGCGAGGTAGTCGATCGTCCGGACGAGCAGCTGAACTATCGGGAACGTCCGACCCCACGCTCACCCTTTTTATCGCAGCACGAGCCCGCACCCAAGCGGCGGAAGCGGCAGTTTCGGAAATCTCCCACGGCACACACAACCATGCAGTCGTCACGCGCGAGCAGATCGCAACCAGCATCGGGCAAGAGTAGCGCCAAAGTGCGTCTCTTCTGGTGCGCTGTGGGCGCAAGCGTGATGCTATCTCTGCTGGTTATCACGCCACTAGCGATGGTCTGGACTAGCACGGAGTTGGGAGAGATCAAGCGCCAGGTACAGGTGCCACTGGACCCGGAGCGCGGCAATTCCAGTCGCCAGAACGACACGAACGAGACGGAAACGGTGCGAAGCGGTGCGGGCTTGGAGGTGCCGTGGCGAGGCGGCCAGGCCACGTTCAACTGGCACCCGCTGTTGATGATCATCGCGTTCGTGCCGGTCATGGTCCAGAGTCTGCTGACCTATCGCATCTACTCGCGTATCCTGTGCACGGCGGTGGGAAAGACAGGTCAGAAGCTCGTGCACGTCACCCTGCACCTGGTCGAGTTGGTGTTGGTAGCAGTGGCTCTGGCGGCGGTGTTCGACTACCACCATCGCCAGGGGTACCCGCACGTACGCTCGCTGCACAGCTGGATGGGCCTGACGACGGTGGGAATGTTTCTCGCCGTCATGGTTTCCGGCGGCGTCTTCTACTTGCTGCCGTCGCGGCTGGTCAAGTCGGAGCGTCGGCGCGCCGCCACGCCGTACCACCGCATGGCAGGCGTCGGCGTCATGCTGATGGCCTTTGCCAGTATGGCATCCGGCATCAGCGAGGCGCTAGCACTGGACGGCGGTGCTGCGGTGTACCCGGCCAGCGCCAGCGCACGACTGGGCCAGGCCGTCGGCGTCCTGCTGCCGTTCGTAGCCATCCCGGTGGCGTTCGTCCTGAGCAGGGCCGAGTTTCGCCGGCGCCTGGACCAGGTGGAGGCGAGGACGCTGAGACCGAACACTACGACGGCGGCGTCGGCATCGCAACCGGCATCACTGCATGGCACTGGCGCGATCATGATGGAACCGACCAAGAGCCGCCGGCAGCCCGCGGCGAGCGAAGACGAACTGGGGCAGATGAACGGGGGCGACGAGAGGCAACCGCTGCACAGATCGGGACACCACTAGCCCGCGCCATTGTGATTGGTTGGCAGGACTATCGGGAACGTGCGACTCCGAGTTCACTTGTTTTACCGGAGCACAGACCGGGACACCGCTAGCCCACGCCATTGTGATTGGTTGACATGACTCCGTCGCCCGCCACCAGATACCATCTATTAGTGATCACAGGCCCATGACACTACTAGAAAATACTATGTCTAATCCGAATATGCTAAGAGAACGGAAAGAAGGCTGGCTATTTCCAATATTAACGTTAGTCCATCTATAGCAGCTGTATCTTAATTTTTGTGCACATCTGCGAAAGACCGTCCTGAAAGGACACTCAGAATTGCCTCGGTCAGAACTCTGGAGTCAAATTTATAATAAAAAAGGTACTCAATCTGCAGACCAAAAAAAGGTATCTATTTTTATTGCAGCTGTGCGTCTGCTGCTCATGTCCGTTCCGGCTTGGAAAGCAGGGTATGTCTGAGTAGAGACAGTATTGTTCACAACTGGCTGTGGGTGCATGCAAACGCCAAATTGCCGTGAAACTCGGAGTACATGTACACGTAACAGCAACATGATTATAATCATTATAACCTCGTTCCATTGCAAGCTTGTGCCTGTTACAATTTAGATGCACATACTCTGCCTGTGCCATAGCTGTGCAGAGGCAGCTCTAGACAGAAGGAACGTACTATCCTTCAGGCTTACTCCCACCTGCATCCACTGTCACGCCTTCATCCTTTTTAGCGAGTGGTGGCGTTCCTACGGCTGCGAAAAATTCAGTCGGAGTCTCGCACAACCCGTCTTATTTCTTCTTTGCTGGTGAGAGAAAGCGGCTCCACTAAATGGGAACCACCGTGCATGGCTCTTGAAAGTCTCGCTGGAGTTCACACATGTGGTGCATTTGTGTACGCCAGTGTGAGTCAAAGCAGCTAGGGAGACGGCACAAGACCGCAAAAACGACGTGCGTTTCGACCCCTTATTGGGAAGTCTAACATGATCCGTGCAGTGTCAATGAAAGTGGAATCTGCTGTGGCCTTGGCCTGCTGACCCCAAGCCCAGACCAACCAGCCAAATGAGTTCATGCTCTCTCTGTATACGTCGTCTGAATGCATCACGACACCACAAGCAAGCATACGGGTCCGTCGAGTTAGAGCTATGGGACAACAGCCGTTTAATCCGCCAAGCCATCAGATCGCATCTATGCTCGCATGTTCGAATGCATGCAGAACATCAATCTCTCCAGCGCGTCTTAAGACGCGCTCATGTGCGCCAATACTCGCACACAGGCACTGAGCACAACAAGGCACATTAGTTCAATAATTCCCACACATATTTATCAGCAGCAATGGCAATACCATGAATGGTGCAATGTGGATGTATCATCAGCACTGCATGGCGATCGGCAGCGATGTCTTGCAGCGCACCGTACCAACTCAGCCTACTTCTAAAGTTTTGTTTACCAGAAACAAAAAAGTCACCCTATACTATAGGCTTAAAAGACATGGCGTGAAAAGAGAAAAAGATCTCAATAATGACACGAGGCTGAGCGCAGAGGGGTTGTATGTAGCATAGAGATGCTACTCTGTGGCATGATGCAAGCTCAGCACTGAGCTGAAGAAACAATGCAAGAGAATACGGGAACTGGAGAATGGGGATGAATACCCAAGTGCCAGAGAATGCACAATCTATCTGTAGAAGTAATCAATTTTTATCGATCGACAAATCCATTCTAACGCATTCTGACAGGCAAGGGAAAGTACAAGGAAAAAGTGAATTTGTTTTCCAATGAATCCGGAGAGTCCAGCAAACTAGCTGGTAATGAAAAATGCAAACATGATTGTCTTGTTGGGAAGATACTTATTGAGCTTCTAAATCGATGAAATAAATTTCAAATTCAAATCGAAATGAACAGAAAGGGCAGTGAAAGAGAGATAGAGAGTGAATGAGAGAGAGACGTAGTAGCCGTTGGCTGGCATCTTACTTGAAGTTGGAGTACGTGTCAAACGAATCCAGATACTCTTGGATAGTGCGGTACACAAACAGGTATTGCTCCTGTGGACGTGCAACCACGGGGAAAAAGAAAGAAAAAAGTGTGAGCGGTTGAGAAAGAACATAAACATGTGATACCATGCACTGTAAGTCTGGTACTTGCGGAATTCCCTCGTTTGCAAGGAAGGCTACGCTATCTGCACACGCTCATTATATCAGTAGACCACCGGCAAACAGTGGGAGCTGTGTACAGATATCGCGTTGTTGCTTGCCGAGTGTTACTGCTCCCAGCCCCATAGCATGGCCACCCTCAAGACTATTTATAGACTACAGACTTCAATGAAAGACTTATTCACCAAGAGACGATGGAAAACACAACTGGATAAGAAACACTCAAAGACCAAGACTGAAAAACAACAACAACAACAACAACAACAACAACAACAACAACAACAACAACAACAACAACAACAACAACAACAACACACGCATGCACCAACAACACGTACAGCTGGCGTACACATAACATCTTACTGCTACTATCATATGGACTGTTGACGTGTATATATTGGCTTTGTCTGTGACGGATGCTCGCCAGAGATTTCATGGGAGTTGAATTTACTTCAAAGCTGTATGCAAATATTGTATGAAGTTTTGGCGTTGCTGGGCTTTCGTTTGTTTGGCAATTGTATTTGACCAGCTGCTCCAAACATGTAACGTCTGCATCAGGATGGGTAAAGGGAGATTACAACATGCACACAGCTAACTAGTACGTGTTTGGAAAACTTACCGCGTTCTGGACCATGGACACACGCTGCATCCTCATCAACTTGATGGTCTGGAAGACGTCGATCATGCTGTCCAGCTTAACGCGCTCAATAACTGTGCAGACGGCGCAGAAGATTCCAGTCCTTCCGACGCCATTGCTGCACGCACAGGGGCATAGATGAACACATTAAAATTTTGTAAAGCTGTGAGTAAGGCAGCCTGTGTGCGAGAAGCCCAACAATGGACAAGGAGTGCTGAAGAAACGCCACTATTAGCAACTCCGGAGCAATGTTCAGTAACTTTTAGTGGCCCTGAATAGAGTTGTAGTTATCAGATAGAAATTATGGAAGAGTAGAGTACAGGGTTACTAGTATACGAGCAGCACCCAGCATGAAATGAAGGGCTGACCATTTCCATCTTTCCAGTGCAACACCTGGTAACGGAAAACTTGGGATCTCACAGGAAACTCTTCAAACCAAGAGATAAGATCGCAAATATAATGTAGGACACGGTAGAGAAACGGAACGTCAAATACATGATTGCAATTTACTCACCTGCAATGCACCACAACAGGTTTGTTTCCGGAGTTCATCTGGCGACGCTGCACTTGACCGATGAGGTCCAGGATGCCGGCACCGCTCTCTGGGACACCACGCTCTGGCCAACCCATGTACTGGAAGTGGTGCACAGTGCGTGATTGGCTCTCCTGCACACCAAGAGAAGCGAGCACAAAGTAGGAGATCTCGTCGGGGCGTGAAACCTAGACTGCGGAGTGACTCATGCCTTACAAATGTCGATGTTCAGCTCCCTAGTACTATGCTGGGAACGCGTAGCTCTTTTCTCTGATTCCAGTCTTGTGTGTCAGTTCCAAAGTATCTTCTAAGACAATCGCTGGAATGCTGGAATGGGGATACTACCTCTCACGTCTGGAGAACATTGTTAGCTTAAAAACAAAAAAAGCAGTGTGTCGCACTTGACCATAAAGAGACTGACCTAGTCTTGAATTAGGCTAATGAAAAGATCATGTTTCAGGCTCTGAACAAGTGACATTATAAGCTTTCCAGGAGTGCCATCCATGCCTTTTCATTAGGTGGAATCGTGAATCTAAGGGTAAAAAAGAGAGACATTGCAACATTGTACACAGGGCCGGTAGACTTCCAAGTAACTTCTGACTCGTTGCGCAGCATGAAGCAGCAAAACATGGATGGCATGGCACGACTTACAACCGGCAACTTACCACTGTGTTCGTTACGGAGAAAGTGCGCAGGACGATATCGGCGGCCACGTGCTCGGTCTCCAGTTTGACGAGGTACTTGCCAAACGTCAGCGGCTGCTTGTCTTGCTTGGGCCAGTATTCAGCACTGTGCTCCTATGAGGCGTGGGCGGACAGAGGCCAGTCACACCAAACCGGGTACAGGAAGTCAGAAATGTCTAGGAACACAGCTACGACCATAACTGGCCGGACTGCATTACTATACAATCATGCTCTACAAGCTCTACTGTACTGTCGGGCGGCAAAGTTGCGGAGCGCCGAAGAACGACCAGGCTAGACTTTCACCAAGCACTGCACACCAGTGCATACACGGTGACTCAACCGTGCATGGATTGTAATACATGAAAGTAAGAATGGTCTAGGGTAGTAGGCTGCCCCCAGTTCTTCGGCGACCGACAGAACTGAACATATCGAGCAACGTAAGGCTGGGGTACTACAAAGCTGTACTCCTTAAAGTGCACTTTCGTAAAGTTGGGAGTTACAAACACACCAGTTGTAGTCTACTGGTTGCCCATGTTGCGTGTATTTCGACACATTGATCATTGTGAAACTCGGGACCTGCACCAATGTGGTATATAATGCTATGAAGTGTGGAGAAAGTGACAAGCGGGCAAGAACCAGTTTTCACACCAGAAGTGGCTCTGCAGTATTGTCTCTGCACATGCAAAGACTGGATGGGGAGAAACAGACTGGCACCAGGTTATCAGAATTGTGATGGGAACCGAGTAACTCGCCAAACAAGGTCGGAGAGAGAGAGAGAGAGAGAGAGAGAGAGAGAGAGAGAGAGAGAGAGAGAGAGAGAGAGAGAGGGAGAGAGAGAGGGAGAGAGAGAGAGAGAGAGAGAGAGAGAGAGAGAGAGAGAGGGAGAGAGAGAGAAAGAGAGAGAGATAGATAGAGAGAGAGAGAGAGAGAGAGGGAGAGAGAGAGAGAGAGAGAAAGAAAGAGATAGATAGAGAGAGAGAGAGAGAGAGAGAGAGCGGAAACGACATACAGTGTTGTTCTCGCGCAGCTTGGACAGCATGACAATGGAGGTGACCTCCTGCTCCCAGACCATGGTCCAGAAGTCATTGAGGGTCTCTTGAAGCGGTCCTTGAGTAGCAATGTAGCAGCGCGCCGAAGAGAAGCCCTGTACAGCAACAGATGAGTAGCAAGTATCAGAAAGGTTGCACAAGACATACAGTTTGCAGCTAACGTACGCGTGTTTTAGCCAGACATGCACGCACATGCACATGCAACCATTGGCAACAAGATGCACTTCTTCAGAGACAACACAATCGGCAGTACAGTTCATCATATCACCACAGCCATCATTACTGCTTTGTAGAAGCACACATAAAATTCCATGCAGTCGGGGTGAAGCGTGGTTTTGGCTTCAAGACATTGCCTGCGAGAACATAGCATAAGCAGGAGTATGTCTTACGTCGACGTAGCTGCCGTTGATGTAGTCAGATCCCTCCACACCAGGCAACTGGGTCAGCCGCACACGGTGATTGTCATCTGCGAAGAGAAGAGGATACAGAGAGAGAGAGAGTGTGTGTTTGTGGGCGCGCGTGTGTGTGTGTGTGTGTGTGTGCGCGCGCGTGTGTGCGTGTGTGTGTGTGTGTGTGTGTGTGTGTGTGTGTGTGTTGTTGTTTGATGGCTAACAGAATGTTCATGCATAGACATTCGGCTGGCTAGGGGCATGCAGGCCGAGTACTGTTTTCAATACATTGCAAAAGTAATGTGCAGTAGATGATCAGATATAAATGGAACTAAAGAGTGTTCCGCACTTGGGTAAACACACACGCACACACGCACACACACACCCACACACCCACACACGCACACACCCACACACCCACACACGCACACCCACCCACACACGCACACACACCCACACACATGCACACATGCAAACACCCACACACACAAACGGGAAATAGCCCCCTCCCCTGAAGAAAATTCTCCGCACAGGGCAGAGCAATACTAAGCCGTAACACAGCGAGCCCTTACATGGCAAGGTGTTCGCCAAGCGGTTCTTCTTCTTGTTGACGACTGCACCAGCTGCACGGAACTGCAGTGTGCTCATCATGCCAGCCGACAATTTCTACAGTGATGCACAGAGAACAGAGACCGTTGAAACAACATCAACACTTGGTCAAACGTACCTAGCAGGAGACACTGAGCTGTAAGTTTACTATGCAACATCGGAACCCATTGTTACGTGACCAGTCTTATCAGTCTAGAACCAACAATGCCACAATGCTACAGCCGTGTGAAGGGCACAATAGCAGGAAGTAGTAAGAACAGTCTCAGGACAGTGCAATGGCAAAACCAGTTGCCAGAAGCGTAGAGAACAGACTGACTAGCGAAAGCCTGAAACGCCAGCAAAGAGCCAAAACCCAATCCACGCATGACGTCACCTGCGCATGCGTGGGGCACACATATAACACACGTGTACGTGAACGCAGTACACGTGACAACCATCACAGTCAAAATGTTCTTCTAAGGGACAGAACAAACCTTGAACTGCAGCTCGAGGTTGGTGGCGGAGTCGCCGTCAGCGGTGGTCTCCAGGGCGGAAATGTACTGTCGCAGGTTCATGGCGTTCACCTCGGTGTGGCCGCAGTTGAGGGCTTCCAGCAGTGCGTCGTGCAAGAAAACGTATTGAGCCTGGTCAATGAGTGGATGGACATACACACACGCACACCCACGCACACCCACACCACACCCACCCATACAAACCCACACCCACCCACACACCCACACATTCACACACAGACACAATTAGCAAGTATAAGTGGTATTTAAGATGGAATCATCAACTTGGGGATTTGAAATGGTGCACATCTGGAGAAAGAAAGACTGTCACACTAGATGGAAGACGCTTTGTTTACATGGACAACACGAAAAACTGTTGAAGAGTTTGCTTTCCACGAAGGCAGCCACGCTGATAAGTGAAGCATACAAGTAGCGAGTCAAGGACACAAACACACATACACACATGCACACACACACATACACAAACACACACACACACACACACACACACACACACACACACACACACACACACACACACACACACACACACACACACACACACACACACACACAAGCGCAACGATATAAGCAAAGAGGAATGCAAGCGCAACAATGTGCACTTTCCTACCTCAGTCTGGACCATGAAGTTTCGCTGGGAACGCAGTTGCATGACATAGTTGAAAACGTCAATGTTGCCCTCCTCAGCCACACGGCTGAGCATGGCATCAATGACCATCAACGTGCCAGTTCTTCCTACTCCAGCACTGCAACAGACACCAAATAAAATGCAGGTATTTGGAAAAAACAATATACACACATTACAGACATCGTACAGTTGCCAGCGCAAGTACGCCGAGTTACAACATGTCAGCAAAAGCACAAAATTAATGGTGCGAGCAACAGCAGTACCAGAAGCAGGAGCAGCAGCAAAAACACACCTGCAATGGATGATGATGGGATGCTGGGGCTTGGAATCGCGTGAGTGGTACGTGCGCATGCGGCGCAGGAAGTTCAGAAGCGGCGTAGCGTGATCGGGCACACCATGATCTGGCCAGACGGTGAAGT